AACGTCAGCAACAACAACCACATCTGCAACAACAACCACAATGCCAACAACAACAACCATAACTTCACCAAAAACAATCACAACTCCAACAACAACCTCAACTGCAGCATCAACAACCACAACTGCAACAACAACCAAAATGCCAACAACTTCACCAACAACAATCACAACTCCAACAACAACCTCAACTACAGCATCAACAACCACAACTGCAACAACTACAACTCCAGCAACAACATCCGCAATGCCAACAACAACAACCACAGCTTCACCAACAACAATCACAACTCCAACAACAACCTCAACTGCAGCCTCAATAACGACAACTGCAACAACAACCACAACTGCAACAACAACTATAATGCCACCAACAACAACCACAACTTCACCAACAACAATCACAACTCCAACAACAACCTCAACTGCAGCATCAACAACCACAACTGTAAAAACAACTACAGTCCCAACAACAACCATAGTGCCAACAACAACTACAACTTCATTAACCACAATTTCAACAACACCAGCCACCACTCCAACAACAACCACAACTTCAAGAACAACAACCACAACTCCAGCAACAACTGCAACTTCTGCAACAGCCACAACTCCAACAACAACCACAACTTCAGCAACAACAATCACAACTCCAACCACAACCTCTACTGCAACAACAACAACCACAACTGCAACAACAACTACAACTCCAGCAACAACAACCACAACGACAACAGCAACAACCACAACTTCACCAACAACAATCACAACTCCAACAACAACCTCAACTGCAGCATCAACAACCACAACTCTAACAACAACTACAACTCCAGCAACAACAACCACAATGCCAAAAGGTACAACTGCAACAACCACAACTTCAGCAACAGCACCTATAACTCCAACATCTACATTATCAGCAACACCAGCCACCACTTCAACAACAACCACAACTTCAGGATCAACAACCACATCTCCAGCAGCAACTGCAACTTCTGCAACAACTACAACTCCAACTGCAACAACAACTACAGCTCCAGCAACAACAACCACAATGCCAACAACAACAACCACAACTTCACCAACAACAATCACAACTCCAACAACAACCACAACTCCAACAACAACCACAATGCCAACAACGACAACCACAACTTCAACAACCACAACTTCAGCTGCAGCACCTACAACTTCAACAACCACAACTCTAGCAACACCAACCACCACTCCAACAACAACCATAACTCCAGCCACAACCACAACTTCTGCTAAAACAACCACAACTCCAACAARGTCAGCAACAACCACCACACAAAKAACCACAACTCCAACAAKAACAACCACAACTTCAGCAACACCAGCCACCACTTCAACAACAATCACAACTCCAACAACAACCTCAGCAACAACAACCACCACTCCTACAACAACAAACACAACTCCAGCAACACCAAACACCACTCCAAAAACAACCACAACTTCAGGAAAAACAACCACAACAACAGTACCCATAACTCCAACAACTACATCATCTACAACTCCAACAACAACCACAACTTCCACAACATTGGCAACAGTACCCATAATTTTTACAACTGCAACATCAGCAAAAACAACCATATCTTCAGCAACAGCATCCATAACTCAAACAACAACAAGCTTAACTCCAACAACAACCACATCTTCAACAACAACAACCACAACTCCAACAACAACAACCACAACCCCATCAACAACAACCACAACCCCAACAACAACCATATCTTTAGCAACAGCATCCACAACTCCAACAACATTTACCACAACCCCATCAACCACAACCACAACTCCAACAACAACAACAACCACATCTTCAGCAACAGCATCCACAACTCCAACAACAGCCACATCCCCAACAACAACAACCACAACCCTAACAACAACAACCACAACCCCAACAACAACCACAACTTCAGCAAGAACAACCATATCTTCAGCAACAGCATCCACAACTCCAACAACAACCACAACTCCAACAACAACAACCACATCCCCAACAACAACCACAACTCCAACCACAATCCAAACAACAACAACCACAACCCCAACAACAACCACAACTTCAGCAAGATTAACCACATCTTCAGCAACAGAATCCACAACTCCAACAACTGCAACTGGAACAACAACAAGTACAACTCCCACAACAACAACCACAACTCCAACAACAACTACAACTTCATCAACTTTAGCAACAGCACCACTAACTATAACAACTTCATCTTCAACATCCACAATTCCAACAACATCTTTAACAACCACATCAGCAAAAACAACCACATCTTCTGCAAAAACATCCACAACCCCAACAACAACAACCACATCTTCAGTAACAGTATCCACAACTCCAACAACAACCACAACACCAACAACAACAACCACAACCCCAACAACAACCACAACTCCAAC